GGTGAAACCCCGTCTCTACTAAAAAGTACAAAAAACTAGCTGGGCGAGGTGGCGGGCGCCTGTAGTCCCAGCTACACGGGAGGCTGAGGCAGGAGAACGGCGTAAACCTGGGAGGTGGAGGTTGCAGTGAGCTGAGATCCGGCCACTGCACTCCAGCCCGGGCGACAGAGCATGACTCTGTCTCAAAAAACAAAACAAAACAAAAAAAAAACTTATTTTAGAAATGTACTAAACAAACATATGGAGAAATCCTCAATCTCACTAATAAGGAAATAAATTATTTATCCATCAGTCTATTTTAAGTTTGGACATATAACATGATCTGATAACATTCTAAGATTGCAGATTTAACTCTATGGGGCAAGAATTTATTTTCACTTCTGTATCCCAAGCACCTAGAACAGCCTGGCACACTATAAGGTCCAATAAATACTGTCAAAGGATCACTGAGAAAGGTTTAAAAAAAGATTGTCAAATGAATGAATTTGATAAGAGCTAGCAATGGTTAATGGTAAAATGAACTATTTCATAACTTTTATCCAACAATGTCTGAGTTGAGTACTTGAACTTGTTGTATTAACCCTCAGGAATCAATACACACAAATCTACAAACACCAAGCTGAGGTGTAGTCATGGAAAATATAAAAGGAGGAGATGAAAGGGTAGAACTGAAGGATAACAGAGAAGTCTCTTTGTATAAGACTCATACAAAGTACTCACAGTACTCACAAGGTATGTTGACTAAAGACAGAGAAACAAATTCCATGAGATTAAGAGGCAGAATTTTTTTCTTTTTGAGACATTTTGCTATCTTTGTTGCCCAGGCTGGACTTGAACTTCTGGTCTCAAGTGATCTTCCTGCCTCAGTCTCCCAAAGCACTGGGATTACAGGTGTGAGACACTGCGCCTGGCCTGTAGGCAGAATTTCTTTAGTTGCTGTTGTTTTTGAGACAGGGTCTGGCTCTGTTGCCCAGGCTGGAGTGCAGTGGCACAATCTCTGCTCACTGCAGCCTCAGCCTCCTGTGCTCAAGGGATCCTCCCACCTCAGCCTCCTGAGTAGCTGGGACCACAGGTGCACACCACCATGCCTGGCTAATTATTATATATTTTTTGTAGAGACAGGGTCTTGCTATGTTGCCCAGGCTGGTCCAGAATTTCTTTAGCTTGCTGCTGCTACCTCTGCCAACTCAGAAAGGTTGCCAACCCAGTACCAATGTTCCCGTCATCGAGCATAGAGCCTTCTCCCAAGCAGTCTCTCTAGGGCCCTCTTGATGTCCCTGTTTCGCAAGCAATAGATGAAGGGGTTCAGCATGGGGGTGACCACAGTGTACATGACCGAGGCCACCATGCCCCGCCAGGAAGAGGACGATGCATTGGAACTAAGATACACACCAAGGCCTGTCCCATAGAATAAAGAAACCACAGACAGATGAGATCCGCAGGTAGAAAAGGCTTTGTGTTTCCCATCTGTGGATGAGATTCTCAGGATGGAGGAGACAATTTGGGTGTAGGAGAAAAGGATTCCTGAGAAGGGCACAAAACCCAGAAGGCCGGTCACCACATAGAGCAGGATGTAATTGATGTGTGTGTCTGAGCAGGCAAGCGTGAGGGCCTGAGCAAGCTCGCAGTAAAAGTGCCGAATGACCCAAGTGGTGCAGAAGGACACCCGCAGCATCAATAGACTCTGGATCAGGGAGTATGACAAGCTGAGGAACCAGGACACAAGAACCAGCAGGCCACAGAGGCGGGGGTTCATAATGACAGGGTAGTACAGGGGGTGACAGATGGCCACATACCGGTCATAGGCCATCACGGTGAGGAGAAATGTGTCTATGCCTCCAAAAACCATGAAAAAATACATCTGAGAGATGCAGCCTGCATAGCTGATGGCATTGCTCTGCGCCTGGATGTTCACCAGCATCTTGGGGACTGTGGTAGAGGTGAAACCGATGTCAGCCAAGGACAGGTTGGAGAGGAAGAAGTACATGGGGGTGTGGAGGTGGGCGTCAGAGCTGATGGCCAAGATGATGAGCAGGTTCCCTAGCACCGTGACCAGGTACATGGACAGAAACAGTGCGAAGAGCGTCTGTTGATCCTCTAGGTCCTGGGAAAATCCCAGGAGTAAAAATTCTGAAACCCTTGTTTGATTTCCCAAGTCCATGTTGCCGACACATCAGCTAGACAGTTAAGGAAGGGAAGAAACATGAAATAGTTGCTGAATAGGCTCCAAAATCTCTCTGCTGTTTTATTTCTTGAGGATAATAATTGGGTACAAAAGCTTTAAAATTGCAAAACTTAGGAATCCTACATTCTGTCATTTGTTATAGGCAACATTTCATGATGTTGACTAACGCCTGTTCATTGGCTTCTTGGAGACCCACCCATTCCCTTTTTCTCTGCTTTAGCATCATCAAATCTACCAAGATAAGAGCAACTTTAGACCTTAGAGATAAAATGGTCTGTACCTGCTCTAACACACATGAGGTCCAGTGAACCTAAGAAAAGGTCAGGGTCATCTTCCTCGTCTAAGACACAACTAAGACCGAGGAAGGTCAGACAACTATATCTGAACAGTGAGAAAATATGAAAGCAGAGATAATAGCTAGGCAGAATATTGCAAGAAGAGTGGATTTAGGTTTTTCAAGGAAGGAAAGAAGGAAGGAGGGAGGGAGGAGGGAAAGAAGGAAGGAATTTTCTTTTTCCATCCACATAATAAATAGGCCTAATGTGTTTCTGTTGTCTAGTGTTGGTGCACAGGTTTTTTTTTGTTGTTGGTTTTCTGCTTTTGTTGTTGTGGTTTTTTTTGTTTGTTTTTTGTTTTTTGGGTTTTTTTTTGAGACAGAGTCTCACCCTGTCACCCAGGCTGGTGTGCAGTGGCGCAATCTTGGCTCACTGTAACCTCTGCCTCGCTTGTTCAAGCGATTCTCTTGCCTCAGCCTCCTGAGTAGCTGGGATTACAGGTGCGCACCACCACGCCCAGCTAGTTTTGTAAAAAACTAGCTAGTTTCACCATGTTGGCCAGGCTGGTCTTGAACTCCCAACCTCAGGTGATCTGCCCACCTCGGCCTCCCAAAGTGCTGGGATTACAGGCGTGAGCCACGGCGCCTGGCCTGGTGTACAATTTGTGTTGAGCCATGCTGGGGAGTATAGAATAATTGAACTAGGTTGACAACTAGGTTGTCAGTCACTGAAAAAGTGCTAAAAGTCATTCCGTAAGAGGGTCTTCTTTGGGCGAGGCTAAGTGTTAGCTGTTGGGGATCAAAGATTAATGATGTGGTCTTTTTTTTTCTTATGGTTCCACCTTCCAGAAGATGGATTCAGAAACAGATCATTGTAACACAGTGAACTAAGTGCTAAAATAAAACGATGTGCAGAGTGGAGTACAGAGAGGATTCCTCAATCCAGCCTGGAGTAATGCATTCACGGAAGGACTCCTGGAGGAAAGAATACCCGGGCAAGGAGTTACCCAGGTGAAGGGTTGCACAGGGGCGTTTCTGGCAGAGATATAAGCAAGGGAATAAGCCTAGAAGCAAGAAGCAGCACGGGACAGAGTTCTCTTAGCCCTTTGCTGCTGCTTAAGCGCAGTGTTAGATAAGAATGATGAGGATGATGTTGGAGAGGTGGGCAGGGATGACATGTCTAAGAACTTTGCAAAGTATAATCCATAAAGGATGGGGCTGTGAAGGAACTGCAATCAAAGGAGTAATGTGATAGGAATTGCAATTCTCCCTGGGGCTTGGAGGGAAAGATGGATTTAGGGCAGGCAAAACTAAGGACAAGGGAACGGGGGGCTGGGGATTCCTCATATCATTAGAGTTGAGGGGGACAACTCAGGAATATTTTCACAGAAGGAAAACAAAGGCCAGGAGAGGTAAAGGAATGAGGTCGAGCTAACAATCTCAGCTTAAGGACAAGACTTGACACTCAAGTGAAATGGAGGGAATTATGGAAAAGAATCCAGTGGGTTTCAATGCTTCCCTTGCGCTCCCCAGAGGATATGATGTCAAGAGGAGACTGGATGTTGGGCTTGCCTGAGCCCTTCACTTTCTGTCACTCACCCACCCTACCCTAGTGGTTATACACCATGGCCTTCGATTCCAGGGAACACAGACGCTTGTCTACTTAGAACCATGGATAAGGGTAAAGAAAGATGGGGAAGGATAAGTCTTTCTGGAGAAGCAGGAGATGTTTCCAAGCAAGTGAGGGTCACAGAGAACAATTCAGAGAGGCTTGATCTAGGCAGAGGGCCTCTGAAGTTCTTGGGTCAAGTACTAAGTGAAAAGAACTAGAAGTGACCAGGACTTCACTGCAAGGCACCTACAGCTCTATCAGTACCTTGGGGCATCCATTTGTACAATGCAGATTGCTCACTGTAAGACCACACAGAGTGATCCAGGGCAGCACTATGATATCAAAGAGTGCCTCAGGCCAACAAACAGTAGCCCTTCCTATAATCTCCATCAGTCATCCACCCAAGTAATATACAGGCAAAGTTAAAGCTCATTATGCAATGGCAACTTAAGCAAATAGTCTAGCCATTCTCCCTTCTAAGAAATCAGCCTCAAGAGCTGCTTCTCCATGGACATCACAGTGTTTCTCCTGCCCTGTGATTACAAGTCAATGCCTTTCCCCTCAATCATCTCTTTTCCCTGTTTCCCTCAACACTTACTGGGCTATGCTGGCTTGGCAATGTGGACCCACCACAGGAGCCACCTTCCCTGAATCTTGTTGTCTCGTGGAAGTAGGTGATGAAGACAGAAGCTCTACCCTCCAAAAGAGCAGGAAGAGAGAGCCCAGCAGGTGGTACGGGGCCTGGATGATTTCTCCTGGAGAACACATGAGTGTCTTGGACCTTGCGCCTGGAGGCCTGGGTGACTGTAAGTAAATAAGTTGAATGTTGGGCCCTGGGAGGGTGTATCCCCTCTGAAGCTTGTTAGACAAATTGGTCAATGGCTTATTCATTCCCTGATCAGTTTGGTTCCTCAAGGGCAGGGACTACACAAGAGGTTTCTGAACTGCCAATTCCTTATCCCTGGGAGACTATCAATGGGGCCAGCTGTGATTCCCGTCTCCTGTACCCTCTCCTTTGGGAAGAATTACTCTAGTCTACTTTGAATCACCTTTGGTGACAACTGTCAGCAATTTTTTTTTTTTTTTTTTTTGGAGAGAGAACCTCGCTCTGTCTCCCAGCCTGAAGTGCAGTGGCGAAATCTCGGCTCATTGCAATGTCTACCTCCCGGGTTCAAGCGATTCTCCTGCCTCAGCCTCCCAAGTGGCTAGGATTATAGGCGCCTGCCACCACGCCTGGCTAATTTTTGTATTTTTAGTAGAGATGGGGTTTCACCATGCTGGAAGTCTGGTCTTGAACTCCTACCCTCAAGTGCTCTGCCTACCTCAGCCTCCCAAAATGCTCAATTGTAGTCGTGAGCCACCACACCTGGCCAGCAGTTTCTGACTTGAAGTTTCCTAATCAGGCAGATAGTTGAAGTTTCCTAATCAGGCAGAGAGTCCCACGATTCACAAAAGGGTAGTGGGTCTCAAAAGGGAGCCTGCACCAGAATGACCTCAAGGACTTGTTTAAACACAAGATTGATAGAACTCACTTTCAAGTTTCTGTCTCAGTAGGTCTAAGCTTGAGTCATAATTTGCATTTTGGACACATTCTAGATGTGATGGTCCCCAGGACAATCTTTTTGGGAACCAGTATCCTGGGGCAGCGTTTCACAAATTTAGATGTATCAAAGTATTATAAAGAGGGGATCTTGTGAACAGATAGTTTCCCACCCTATCCCAGACTTACCTTGCCAAGATCTCCAAAGGAAGACCTAAGAATCTACTTAAAAAAAATACTATGGTTTTTTGTTTTTGTTTTTGAGACAGGGTCTTGCTCTGTCACCCATGCTGGAGTGCAGTGGCGTGATCACAGCTCACTGCAGCTTCAACTTCCTGGGGTCAAGCAATCCTTCCGCAACAGCCTCCTGAGTAGCTGAGACTACAGGAGTGCACCAACATGCCCAGCTAATTTTTACTTTTTTTTTTTTTTTTAGAGACAGGGTTTTACCATGCTACCCTAGGGGATCTTGTTAATATATAGCTTCCCACTCTATCCCAGACTTACCTCATCAATATCTCCAAGGGAGGACCTAAGAATCTACTTTTTAAAAAAATTATAACAGTTGGCCAGGCACGGTGGCTCATGCCTATAATCCCAGCACTTTGGGAGGCCAAGGCGGGCAAATCACGAGGTCAGGAGTTTGAGACCAGCCTGGCCAACGTGGTGAAACCCCATCTCTACTGAAAATACAAAAATTAGCCAGGTGTGGTAGCGCATGCCTGTATTCCTAGCTACTCAGGAAGTTGAGGCAAGAGAATTGCTTGAACCTGGAGGTGGAGGCTGCAATGAGCTGAGATCGCATCACTGCTCTCCGCCTGGGGGACAGAGTGAGACTCTGTCTCAGAAAAAAAAATGCAACAGTTTTATTTATGAAACTTTTTATTAATTTAAAATAAATAATAAAGTTTTTATTTTTTTTTTTTCCTTTTGAGACAAGGTCTCACTCTTGTCCAGGCTGGAGTGCAGTGGCGCGATCTCAGCTCACTGCAGCCTCAAATTCACCAGCTTAAGTTATCCTCTCACCTCAGCCTTCCAAGTAGCTGGGAGTACGGGCTGCACCCCCACACCCTGCTGATTTTTTACATTTTTTTGTAGAGACAGGGCATCGCTATGTTGCCCAGACTGGTCTAGAATTTGTGGCCTCACAGAATTCTTCCATCTCAGCCCCACAAAGTGCTGGAATTACAGGCATGAGCCAGCACACCTGGCCTTTATTAATATTTTTTATTGTGGTAAAATATGTATAACAAAATTGACCATTTTAAGTGTAAGACTTAGCAGCACATTGCCAGGCATGGTGGCTCATGCCTGTAATTCCAGCACATTGGAAGGCTGAGGTCAGCAGATCATCTGAGGTTGGGAGTTCAAGACCAGCCTAGCCAACATGGTGAAACCACGTTTCTACTACAAAAAGTATACAAAAGTTAGCCAGGTGTGGTGGCGTGCACCTGTAATCCCAGCTACTAGGGAGGCTGAGGCAGGAGAATCGCTTGAACCCAGGAAGCGGAGGTTGCAGTGAACTGAGATCACACCACTGCACTCCAGCC